CTGTGTGTTCACTACGTCACGCCAGCCTTTCCACGTCATTGTTCAGCTTGATGTTTGTAAATTTGCACGCTTCTTGTGCAACAGGCATAATTGATAGGTCCAAAAGAAGGCATCCATCAGCATAAGCAGGAGTTAAGACAGGAGCCCTCAGCATCCAAATGATCAGTATCTGCAGGAGCGGAGTAAATAGCTCTGTTCTCCTGAGGAGGAGGGAGGCTTCCTGCGTCCTGTTTGATCCGTGGTCGCTTTTGTCCTTTTGGAGGACAGGTAGGCAATGTACAACTTCATACATAACTATGTGTTTAAGCTATTTTTAGACATAGGAAAATTGTGAAAACGGGCTTCTCTCTTTTGGTAGGGATTTGTTCTATGTGTGTTGGAAAAAAAAATAGTGTTTTTTTTCCTTTAAAAGGTGATTAGGCTTCAGATACAACTCAATAGGGCAGTTGTCAGATAAATGAATTATTTTTAGGTTTGAGAAGAATTATTGTGAATCTTTTCAGGAACATAATGGAAGAGAAAATATCTTTATTGACTTGCTTTGGAAAGCCATCGCATTGCACCATGTTAAGATGTTATGTTGTTGAACTGTGGTTTTGCATGAAGAATTTTGAAATGGCTCACCTAAACAGTAAGGAATTGAGTTCTTGGTTACAGTTATGGAGGACTTGGCAGTAATTTTAATGGAGAGTTCTAAAATCTGAACTCTTTTTACAGCTGTCCAACCATCAGCTCACCAGCTGTGAGTGTCCTTACTATGAGTGTCCTTTCCTGGTAGCTGGGATTTGGTGAAGCATGATCAAGGGCATTTGAGGATTTTCTCATAGAAAATAGTGAATTAATGCTAAACATTCACATGTGTCTGTCAAATAATGCGTTGGGGGGTTGTAATGTTTTATGTGTGTGTGTGTGTCTGTCCCATAGATCTTCCTTAAACTACCTGCAAGTCTTCAGTTGATCATGTTGGATTTCTGGGTTTTATTTTTTTGGGGTTTTTTTTTGCTGTAAATGGTGTGGGAGGGTGTGGAAGGAGTCTGAAAGTGTTGATTACTAGGTCTTCAAATCCATTGTGTAATGTCTATTGTAAAATGTGATTCAAGCCTTTTAACTCAGTAATATGTGATTTAAAACAAGAGAGGGATAAGAGTTGGGCTTTTTGTTCTTGGTAAAGCCTTGATTGTAATTGCTTTGTTAACAGTAATTCTGAACAGAATGTAATTGCAGGTGCAGGTTTTGGTTGGTTATCTTTGTCCTGTCTGATCAATATGAGGAAGGTGAATCTGGGTTTTAATTACCAAGATTTATCTCTTAACACTGAAACTTGACAAACTGATGAGCCGCTGGAGTGGTGTTTGTTCCCCCGCCCCCTTCCATCCACTTGATTTTCGGCTTTCCCCTCCCAGCAAAATGTCAGTATCACAGGAGCAACTGGAGCAATAATCCTGCTGCTGCTAAGGCTTTTCCTAGTGATAACCAGGGCTGGATATCAGCATACTCATATGAAGACTAAAATGATGCCTTTGGCCTGTTTTCCTAGCGCAGTGAGTAAGAATTGAGTGATGTGGTCAGCTGTGAGTGCTGCTCTGTTAATTATGTTGCGTGTAGGTCCTTCAGACAGGCTGTGTTCTCCTTTCAGAGCAATGATTTATGCAAAGTAAGAGCCATGATTTATGCAACTACCCTCATAAACAGTGAGGCTTTATCTTGTAATCCTTTCATAACTAAAAGTGCAAGTGAGATTTCTAATGCAGATTTCTAATTAATTTCGATAAAATGGTCTGGAACCAAGCTTCTGTCCAGCAAATCTTCAATCTGCGTGCCTCTTGGTTTCCTAGAACTTGAAGTCTCTCTGCATGTGTGTTAAAGATGTTTTCACATGAACTGGAGATGGAGTATAGTAAATGTTCTTATGTGGTATGTGCTTTCCTGTAATAGCTTAATTTCTGAACTGATCTGTGCCTTCTGTGCAGTTTGGAGAAACGAGGTTAATTATGCCAAAAGAGAGATTTTTATTTTTTTTTCCTTCGACATGCACTTGATGACTAAGCTCAAACAGGAAACAATTTAGAAAAACATCAACTTATAATGTAATTACAAAGGGATAGTAAAAACCTTTTACTTTAATTCATTTTTAGAGGAGGGACTTACTGTAAAAGTAATACAGTTACAGCAAAACAAGGGATTTCTGTAGTATGTACTTTGTGAACAGCTTACTTACTAAGAAGTAATTTCTTAGTCATCTGGTACAGAATCCCTCTGAATAGAAGAATAAGTGAATGGAAATTTTTAGTAAAATCAGAGTTTTGGCTGAAAGAAGGTGTGTGAACACATGTTTAAGAAATATCTGTGTAACCACATGCATTGAATACCTGTGATGACAGAGTTTTGCTGAGATCAACTCAACAGTGGCCCACACTGAGATTAGGTTCACCTCTGTAAGACTAAAGGATTAAGAAGTTAAAGACTTCATAATTTTGGGCAGAGCCTTGACTTCAAAGTAGCGTATTTCACAAGGTGTCTTAAGTGAAATAGTGGTGAGTTGGGCTGAATTCTGCTGATAAATTATTGGGTGGCCATGGGTTGGTTGGTCCAAATTCACCATCTTCCCAAAACAATTGAGTGAATACTGTACTTGAGTTTTGTAATTGTCATCTAGAAGAGAGTTACTGAACTTCTTCTGTGTCTGATATCAGTCTGGATTTTGATATTAATATACTGTAGTGCTGTTAAATAGATCATATGCAGTATTAGCTAAGTCTTGCCTAAGTCAATGTAATAATGCTCCTTACCTTGAATGCCTGTGCCTCCAGAGGTAGTAATATATCTAGGAGGAATGTAACTTGAGGAGCTTACACTCCAGGACAAACTTTCACTATCTAGCATATTTCTGTGGTTAAGAATAGTCAGGAGAATTGCTTTTGAAAAGCAAGTCTACTTTATTTTTGAACATAGGTCTATACACTCAATTATGTAAACTTTGACCTAACTAGCTTGGTTACTCTAACTGGTACTGTGTTTCATTAGACAAACAATTTACAGTGGACAAATCTCTGCATCCTTAGTAGGCAAGTCTCCTTATAGTCTTCAATCTTGAAGATGTTCAACTGCTTTGAGATGCCTTGTTATTTTTCACACACTCTCTTCATATATGGAGTGTCAGCCTCAAGTTTGCTGTATTCTACATACAGCCTTGGGTTTTCTGGTGGGATTTTTACTGCAGTTGTGATTACACAGTATAGTCTTTCAGATTGATTTAGTTTTGTTGTGTTTCACTTGTTTATAGAGAACTTAATATTACCCTGGATCCACCCATGCTGTTTTCTGGACAGTGTGTAGTGAGACACTTAAGGTCTGGCATACTACCAGGTGTAAGCCAAAGACTGGCTTGCTGATGTTAAATTAGTGGGCCCATTTTGATAGTTCTTCAAAACTTAGTTGTTCTAATTAGCTTCCAAACCTGGACATGTGTTTTCCAGCTCCTGGAGGTATGTTAAATTTTCTTGGCAGGTTTGTCCCGCAGAGCACCGTGGCTTACAGCTAGGAAAGAAAGTGACCTTGCAGAGTATAGATAAGAATGTTGGTGAAGTCTAAATCATGGATAAAGCTTGTCTTTCTGCTAGCTATGGGAAGAATCCCAAGACTTCCACGTGATTGTGAAGTTTGAAATAGGTATGCTGTAAGGTTAACTTGTACCAAAAGCAGTTTACAACAGGAAATAATCAGTTTCGTCATTTCAGTCTCTACTTTTAGATCAGTATCTTTCACAGATAAGGTTTCCCAATGGGTGTAACCTTGGACCATGAAGACAAACAGACTGTGATCCTTTGGTGATATGCTGGGTAGGTATTGGTGAGATAGGGCAGGTCATTGGGCCTTGTGGTGGTAGAAAATGTGGACATTCTGCTGATAGCATTCATTGATTTACTTTTGTGGAAACAAGGCACCAAATGTAATGAGACATGATGATATGACATGACCCAGACTTGTCTTTCTGGCAGTAACCTTGTTTAGATGAGTTAAATATTACTTCCTTTGTTGACTGAATCTCTCCAGTTCCTACAGATTTATTTTTTTTTGGCTTGCTTTAGTGTCCTTACAATGTGGCAATTGGAGCTCTATATGAGGGACTTCTGTAATGATTTTTGTCTCACGTGTGTGTATGTGGTGTTTAAAAATACTTGGTGCATTCAGATTTGGTGTCTAGATGGATTTCATCTTCTGAATGTACATAAGCAAAATGCTTTTACCACTTTACTTTTAGGTCCTTTTCTGCTGTACTGCTGCTACTACTGGGTTCAAGCTGTCAGAGGGAAGGGGGAAGTTGGTTTGTTGGGCTGTATTTTTGCAGAACCTTGTGGCTTGTTGCTGACGTTTGAGAGGTTGGGAAATGCACATTTTCTGTTTCCTGTGAGTGAAAATCTCAATAGGATTGAATTTGGAGGGAGCATGTTGTTGACCTAATGTTTGTCAGTGATAAAGTAGAAGACAGACCATTTAATCTCTAACAAGGACACACATGCACACACTCTAGTTGCTGGATTTAGCATTTAAACATTCAGTGGAACTGCAGCAGGCCTTCCTGGCACTTGGAAAGCACATCTTTAAGCATCTTGATCTGTGTTGGGACAAATCTGAGAATTGATCATTATCCTGTTAAAAACAGAATCGTCCTTGTTTTGAGAGTCAGAGCCCTCTGAAGCTGTGAGTTAAATATTGCTGCAGTAGCTCTGGAGGCAAACAGAGCTGCTGTTGTTTGCTCCATAATAGCACTTGCTCAGCCCTGGACATGAGAATTTTTTACAAGATGGGGAATGTTGGCTAGGATCCTGGAGTGTTGGTTTGGTTTTCTTTTTTTTCTTTTTCTTTTTTTTTTTTTATACTGAAGTGCTTACGAGCTCTTGATTTATCAAAGGACAGCACCCTTCACATAAGCATAATCTTCAAGGTCTCACCGAGGGTTTAGCCCTGAACCTGTGCATTCAGAAGAATACTGGCAGCAGGTACTCTGTAGCAGCTTAACATAAGTTTCCTCTACCAAAGGCTGTTTATACCTACGAATAACCGGTAATTTTGATAATTTCTGTTCTAGAGCAAGAATCCTTTACAGATCTCTTATTAATCCTTCCAACTGTCACATTTCTTTTTTTTATTGACTCTTATTTTCTGTTAGCTCAAAGAAGTATCTGTGACACAGGGGTTTAGATATTCCAAAGTGTGCATTAGACAATTTTGTCTTTGGTAGAAGTTGTCTGTCTGTGTTTGAAGATGTGGTAGCTGTTAGCAAGTGATTGGATAACTGGTGACAATGTGTTGCTGGTTAACAGTATAATTCAGCTATTGTAGACATAAAACAAATTGTACTCAAAAATAGATACAGTGATTGCTGACACTTAACAACCTTACAATGTTAAATTTGGTTTTGCTATGTTATCTTGCAAGAGAGTTATTTTTTTTCTGCACCTACTCCAGCTTGTTAAGGTGTTAGAGGCCAAACTAAATTTCCAATAGGAACCACATGTGTTTCTTGAATCTTTTATTTAATAACAGAATTATTGTATAGTTTTTCTATAATTTGCTACCAAAAGAACTTTAAAAGGTATTGCAGGTAATATACTCTGTCTGTGGGGTAAGTCCCTCCTGAGTTTGAAATGAGGAGTTGCCAGCAATGCTATGCTAACTGGCACATGGAGATGCATTCTTGGAGAAGGCAGGGAAAGGTAGGTGGAGAATGGGAACATTCTCTTCTTTCCCTGTGGTTGAGATAAACTTTCTTTCTAGCAGAGCAAAACATAGGCTGCTGGTTTCAGCCTTTGATTGTTTGTACCTAGATTCCATGTGTGGTATTTAACCTTAATTCCAGTTTGGTGCTTCTAGGCAGTTCCCTCACCATCCCAGTGTTTATTGCTGTAACACTGGCAGCGATGTGTGCTTCTGGAAAAGGTCACCAATTCTGTTTTCTAGCTAGAATCTTCTAGAGGAATGGAAATAGGAGGCAAACTCAATGTGGAAAATTGGTATGAATAAAGTCTACTGGAGTAGTTGTCAGAGAACAGAATAAAGTCTAGTTGTCAGAGAACAGGGTAAAGGGAAAGGGGGTTGAGACTTTCTCAAAGGAAAGATTTCTCAGTCCTTAAAACAAAAAGGTAGAATATTAGCCTGCAAATGTAGAAGTGATGCTGCCTCTCAAGTGTGAATGTGAGTATTTGTGTATGCTTGTGGTTTTTTAACTGAACCCATTTCATCATTATGCTTCATCATAGCTCTGGATGTCAAAGTTTTGTAGGTCTGGTGTTCTGTAAGAGTTTCAGGGGAATAACAGAATTATTTTTCATCTGATATTAGCTTCGTACTCAAAGGAGTATGGTCAGAAATAACTGAAACTTTCTGATCTATTCTAGCTTCCAGTTTTCTCTGCATCACATGACCCTAAATATTGTCAAGTTTTTCAGTTACCTAAAACTCTGGACTGTAACAACACAGATACTTCCCCTGGCAGCATTACTTTTCATTGCTTTAGGTTTTAGAGACAGATGTTGGACCACAGCCCTTGTCCTGGGTGTTGTAGTAAGGTTCTTACTACATGTGACCAGGTCTGCAGACTGAGGATATGGCATTATGTCAGAAATAGGATTAAGTCTTCTTTTGAGGAGGGATGGGTGAATGGATGGTATTTGATACTGTCCTAGAGTCTTAAGGGGTAAAAAATATTAATTATGGCTAGTTAGGTAAACTGGTGAGAAGATTATGAGGAACTGTAATAAAACCGAATCTTGGTGATGAAATCGCTGCAGTAGCGATTGCATGAGTTTTCTCCTCCCTCTTTGAGGGAACTGAAATCATATCCTGTATATGGGAACAATCATGCAGATTTTTAGGAGTTGAATGGTGTATGCAAAGACCAGAAAAACAAAAGTTATGGGGAAGACATACTTGAATAGTAGAGAGCATTAATTGTGACCTGTATCTTACCCAGAACAGGAAAGAATGACTCATAAGCCTGCTGTGACTTGCTTTCCATGCTTGTGGCAGGAGGTGTGCTTTCAAATTTGCATTAAAATCTCTTAACTGTGTGGCAAAAGTGGTTTAATATAAATAGCTTTTTCCCTTCACCCACTTCTTTCAGTCTTGTCAACCTTCAGAGAAGCAGTTTTGGATGATGTACTGTGGCCAGTAGAAATAGTAGGGCTTGTTCCGCTCTAAACTTGCTGCTGTATCCCCTTAGCAGTTATTAAATGCTTCACTAGTAACCTTGTCAAAGAAGAGGGTCAAAATAAGATTTGGACTTAAGACTTACATCCAGGCTGGTGAAACTAGGACTTGTGCAGGTAGTAACTCATTTTTAGCAAGTGATCATTTAGGACTTGTTCAGACACTTGTGATACAAGCACAGTTGCTTTAATATGACAGATCCCTGACAGGTGTTCCAAAAGTATTTACTTACTTTTTCAGGCAAACAGTACAAATTAAGCCTGCTATTCACTCCTAACATACATCTTGTGTATTGCCTGATAAGTCTCTGCTTGCAGTAATCTACTGTTTCAAAAGAACTGAGTGTATTTAGAAGTTGCACCTTTATTCTTGGGTGGTAGGTGAAGAAAGGCTCTCATCCTGCTTAGGTATTTGGTGTTGTAATTCTTATTTGCTCAAGAAACGCTCCATCTGTGTTCAGAGAGACTCATTTTTGTTGGGTTTTTTTTTAGTACCATGGTTTTATTGGATCTGTCCCTTTTGGTGGTGTTTTGGTCGTAACGCTTTGGGGAACTGCTATAGAGGAGGATTATAATTAGACATCCAGCTCAGTATTTTTATAAGTCTAATTAGAAAGATGGGTAAAACATGGTGGGATTGTATCCATATGCTACAGTCTTCTACAGTAAAAGTAAGCTGGTAAAGAGTTACAGTAAAGATGTCAGTGTATCAAACTTAAAGGAATGACACGGAATGAGTCCTAGAGATCCCAAAGGTCATGGTCCAAAGACCATATTATTGTGAGACATATCACTGTATTTGCCTTCAGAAAGTATATCAGTTTCTATTATCTAGATTCGAACTTAATTTTCAAGAGGTTGATTAAGGGACAGGAAAGAAATCATAATTCTCGTAGTTAACTTCCTAATTGAAGCAAAACTGACAACACTTTTGGGCTGTATGCTGGAGTTGAGTAATAATCCCTTGCCCTTCATTTTATTAGAAGGCGTATTTGTGGCTAACTGAAATCTTAGTTTGTGTGAGAATTCTAGTGACTTATTTGGGGACAAGAAAACCCAACAGACTTAACTGATGAAAAATTTGGAAAACTCTATCTGTGAAACTGTATAGGGGTTTTTGTAATCGGTATAAAACCACCAGATTTCATACCAACCTTCTCTCTGGCCTAGTATAATTTTGCAGTAAGGCTCAGCCTAACACTGACAGGGGACTCTGCTGACAGTCAAAATTTCAGGGCCAGCAGTTGAGATCCCTGGCTCCCTGTCTTCTGTCATCATATTTGAAGTGTCTACTTGTGGTTGTGTTTTAATGATACGACCTTTAGTTTACATGGAACAGCCACTTGCAGTGGTAAAGGACCCTGCACATAGAGGTAAAAATAGACTGAAGGTGAGCCATTTGCCTGACTCGGTGGGTGTCTCTTCCTTAAAACATTGTTAACAGGAGCAGTTTACAGGACTATCTGGAATGACTGTAGTGACCCCATGGGAGTATTGTGGAATGTGATGAAAAAAGACAGCTTTTAGTACTGGTTATAGGTACAAAAAAAAAAAATAGTCTGTTAAGCATTTCTTTCAGGTATGAGATTGAATGGTTACATCTGTGATGTGTATTTTGATCTTCTGCAAATCTGAACTCCTGTAAATTCTTTAACATGCTTTTGTTTTTAACTTTCGTAAAGGTCATAATGGTTTCCATTCCTGAATTCTATGAAGGAAAGAATGTCCTCCTGACAGGAGCTACAGGCTTCATGGGAAAAGTGCTTCTGGAAAAGCTACTGAGATCCTGTCCTAAAGTGAAAGCAGTGTATGTACTGGTAAGAAACAAAGCAGGGCAGACACCTGAAGCACGAATAGAAGAAATTACCAGCTGTAAGGTATGTGTCATATGCTTACAAAGTATGTTTTTGTCCTTCATTATAATGTTCCCATTTCATTTTGAGAACAGCTTCAGTTTGTCTAAAGCAAACTATTATTGTTAAGTGGTTTTTTTTTTTTTTGTTCTAACAGAAATATAAAATCCAAGACCTGGCAGTACTTCTATAGCTGACTTTCAAGCTGTTAGTCTCTAGCGAAACCAGTAGTTGAAAATTATCCTGTATTTAATTCAGGAGGAGGATGTTCAGCTGTAATGCAGAGTTGAGAAGTAAAAAACTGTGTTATTGCTTGTTAAGAAAATATAAAGTACAAGAGGCGGTGGGCTGGGAGTTGTAAGAGGGGGTTGAGACCCTCCAGATATCAATCAAATCACTTTTACTCTTTGTGGTTTCTTTTCTGTAAGATGAGACATAGTATTTTTTTTTTTTCTGGAATGTGATGTTGGATCTACCAGTAAGCAAGAATAGGTGATCTCAACAGGAACTTATGTTTGTAAATGGAACAAGGATGTTTGTCTCAGTAGTTTCTATCTGTGGATCTCTGTTAGTCAACCTGTGACAACTAGAAAGGCACTGAAATGCTGTGCTGTGGCACTATTAAAATGGCTATTTAAACGATTTTCTGTGCAGTCTGGGTCAAATACTTTGCTCCTGAAAAGACTCATTACCTTAATATCAGGCTGGGCATTCTTACTACACGCAGAACCACCCACTGTTGTTGCCCATCTTTCTACTAGAGAGTATCCTGTTCACGATGAAAAAGGTGAACAGAAAGAGGAGAGATTTCCAGCATGAACTTTGCTAAAGCAGAGTTTGTTTATTTCTGTCTAGGTCTTTCTCTTGTGGAACACGGGAGTCAGCAGTTTTATTTTTCAGGCCTAGGAAATATGTTGAGATGCAATGTAGCCTGTACAAAGTGTGTGCTTAGAAGATGCTAAAAGGGAATCAGTAACAAAATATGAATGCACGTAGGCTAGGAGGAGTAAGTTGTTTAAAGTAAGGCAATGAATTTCTACAACTCTGACTAGGTAGGATTACAGCAGATATGGGCATGGCTGTGCCCTTAGCAAATTATTTTCTGTAACTATGTCAAAACTGTAGCTCGTTGCTCAAAAGCATCTGCTTGCAGTCCTGTGCAATGTTACAGAATACAACAGAATCAGTTACAGGGGGGTTCTGTCTTAAATTCAGTCACACTTTTTTTGCCACTGTCCTGAAACAAGGAAAAGATCTCCAGACTAAACTGAGATGAGAAAGGAAAAATTTCTCAATCCACTCTTTGTATACACTATTACCCAAATTAAAATCAGGGAGTATCTGAGCAAGGAAAGGAGTAGGAGTAGTGTGGACTGACTTAAACTTTAGTAAGACTTAATCCTCATTGTAGCTTTTAGGAAACCTGTACCTTGTGAAAGGCTTTTAAATTTCAGTCCAAGTCTGCTTGTAGTCTGTACCAGTTCCTGCTGAGATAACAATGTGATGAGGTTTGAGTCTTGGTGAGCACTTACTGCTGGAGCAGGTTCACAGCAGAAGTCCTGGTAAGCAGAAGTACTGCTTGAGGTAGTCCTGCACGTGAGTCCCACAAGTAAGGACATAAAGGGAGGGTGTTTTGCATCTATGCAGAGATGGAGGTAGGGCCAGGTGTTTGTTCTGTCTTCATCAAATGATTAGACAAATAAGGTCAAAAGTCTGTAGTTTAGGTGCCATTAATGTCATTAAGATTCTCACAGAAGACCATGGAAATTTTAATAAGGTCTGTCCTGTCACAAAGGCCCTGCCTGTAATTTTTCACAATTTGATTGGACTCATTAAGTGTTCTAGAGATGCTTGAAGATTCTGTTTCTTGAAGAGTTTAAAATCTAAAGGGGTGAACAAGATATTCAAAATAAATTTATGGCTACAAATAGCCAAAAAATGTTGGGGTTTCTACTTCCTTTGGACTTCAGGTGTCTAATTAATTTTTAATCTAATTAATCTGTTAATTTTAGATCTCTATTGCGTGTGCTCTAGGTGTTTCTTCTGGTTCTCCTTTGCACTGGCGTCAGTGCTAGTGTGAGGTGTGTAGGAATAATGTATGACTATGGATCTGAAAAGGGGCAGAACAGATGTGATGGACATAGGAAAAGTACCAAACTGGCTCTTTAAGAGCTAGTCTGTGGGACTGCTTTTTGATTATAATGCATATCAGCACATTAAGATGGTTAACAGGCAGTTACTTCAGTTCCCTGGAGGCAGGCACTGTCGTTCCAACTAAAAACATAGCAGGCTTATTTTTCAAAATGACAGAAAGTTTCCTGCCCTTAGGTAAGCACTGTTTGCTGTACCCTTAAGAATTCCTGAGGCTTTAAATGTAGTCTTGGCAACTTTGTCCCATAATATGAAGTTTCATGTTTGGGAAGTCCAGGCAGTAACTTCAGTCTATAACTGGACATGTCCCATGTTCTCACTCTGGCATTACCTCTGCTACTTCAGGTGGCCACACAGTGAGCTGCACTAGCCCATGGTTGGGGCAGAAAATATATCCACAGAAAAAGAGCTGGACCCACAACTGCTGAGCTCACACAGCCATGGGGCTTCTTGTTGCTGCCAGTGCAGGAGAAGCAATGCAAAAGTAAAAAAAGTTAAGGGAAGGACCAGTCTGTTTGGTTGCAGTATAAACTTATATTGCCCTAAATGTTTTGAAACTGCACCTTCAGGTGGCTTAATTTATAGTTTAAAATTAATTAGCTTCCTTCTGTGAGGAAATGTCTTTTGGCTATTTACATTTGGTGTAACTGCGTGGTTGGAGGGGGGAAAAAGAAGGTGCTGCTCTGATTTTAATACAATTGATTGGTGTTGAAGCAGTTGCTAAGATATTGGCCCCTGTGCAATTAGAGAAGAGGGATCTGCTTTGGTACAACTTTCAAATGTGTTTTATTCCCACAGTACTGTGTTGCTCAGGAAAACTTGCATACTAACGAGTGTAAATATGATGAGGCAAGAATTGTCATCTGTGTGTTAACCCACATGGTTAGACCCTAGTTATTTATGAGGGGAATATATGATGGAATATAACATGGGTGAGATTTTTTTCAGTGAGAATAGCTGAACAATTTTATAAGACTTGATCAGGTATTCTAACACTGTATGCCTCTTTTCCTTTAACTCGCCAGCGAAACAATTTCCTTTTTGGTTTATCTTTTAGTAATCTGGAAGTTCTCCAAAACTGGCATAATTTGAGGATAGCATTTCTTAAATCACTGGAAATTTTTAAATCTTGATGAAAGTTTTTTAGAACTATAATCCAACACGGCTTCTGCAAGTCTATGACAATCTGAATAGCTTTTGTCAGGCTTGGGAAGTGGGCAGGCTGTTCATTTTCCATCTGAAAGAAAAGGGATTACAGTATTTAGACTGCTACTTAAAATTTCTTTGAGTCCTGGTGCCTAATAGAGAGCATTCCTTCTTTTATCTGATGTTGACAGAGCTTTGGTTTTAAGGATTGGGAAGAGTACTAAAAAAATATTTAGTGCAAATTGAAGTCCTCTTACTTGTGTACAACACGTGCAATACTGCTTTCACTGTGTGGGGTAAAGTGTGCACAACTCCATCACGTTCATGAGAAGTCAGTAACATGTTCCTGTGATATTGCCAGCAAGCTTTTCTAACTTACTGATGATGTTGAGAACTAAGGAGTTATAGGCAGAAAATGTGGGATTTTTCTTCACTTAAGTGAAACGTTTACCTCTTATCTTCTCTGAGTTTTTAATCTTGTTATTTTTGACAGCTCTTTGACAGGTTGAGAGAGGAGCAACCAGACTTCAAAGCAAAAATAATAGTAGTTATGAGTGAACTTACGCAGCCTGACCTGGATCTTAGTGAACCAATCAAGGAAAAACTTATAGAGTGCATTAATATTGTATTTCATTATGCTGCTACAATCAGATTCAATGAAACACTAAGGTGAGTCTAAAATTCTGTTTATTCTGCTCTAGTAAACCAGTGGTACTCCAAGGGAGGGGGTAAATTGGGTGTCTGCACAACCTTGCAAATATTCAGCCTGTCAGGCTACCTCATGTGCTCTGATATTTGTGTGCTTGGGCAATTTCATGGTGTTTTATAAGGTCCACCAAAGCTTTTGGATTTTCCTTTGCTCTTCTTCAGAAGATGGAAGCAATATTACTTAGATCTGCTTTGCCAGAGGTTAGAATAACACTATTCAACATGGAAAAATTCATGTCTTTTTAAAGCTTTAGGCAAAAAGACATCCATTATTAACTCTGAGAAACTAAATAAATTAGCCCCTGAGGTTTTGATGGGGAGGGGGGTGGTTTGGGGGATATTTTTGGTTGTGAGGTTTTTTTTGGTTGGTTGGTTTTTGAGTTTGGGGGGTTTTTTTTGGTTGGTTGGGTTTTTGTTTGTTTTGTTTTTTTTTTACAAAATCCCCATGCCTGGATTTTGAACCCTTTTTGAAGGGAAGCTGTTGAAGAGACTGAGAACATATTGGTATTCTGAGTCTTCCAAACATCATGTGTTGCTCTACTCTCAGGGATGGGCAGAGAGGATACACACATGCTGTAGCTTTATGCACTGTGCTCCCTAGTAGTGTTAGAACGTTTTTCCTGGTGTGTGAAGGGCAACACAAACTGTTCCTTTAACCTTCCTTGTTAGGAGGGGAATGCACATTTTCAGGGGATACAGTTTTGCCAGAAAAGTTGGGTGGGGGAAGTTCAAGCACTTGCTCTCATACCTAATGAGGAAAACAGGAGATTAAATACTGCTCGGCTGTTCTCCCTGTCTTTAAAAAGTCCTTTATTAGGAGTAGAGGTTTACCTTGAAGGGAACAGGGAGAAGTAGATGAAGAGGGAGAAAGAGAAGAACAAGAAGTGGAAAAAGTGATGCTCACGGCTCCGATTATGAGCTCCTTCCTTTGATTTGTTGAAAGAGGCAGTGAAAACTGAGAACAATATCTAAAAAAAAGCCCCAAAACTAATTAGTTTCCATTGATGTTAATTGCTTTGGGATAGTGTTCCCCCTTTCTTGTCACCCTCTTTAGTAATAACATGTGATAATGCAGTCTGGAACTTAGTGATTGTTTGGGGGAACTAATTTTGTTGTTGTTAATGAAACACTTTATTGCAAGGACTTTGATAAAGTGTTACTTAGCTGCACTCTTGAAACTTAGTTGATTAGTACACTGTGTGCAAGAAAACTGATGCCCATAGCAAGTTCTGTAGGCTGGAGAGAATGTGTAAATAGTATAAAATAATCATAGTAGTTGCTCAGCAAGCTGTTATCTGGTGGGAATTGTAGAGATACACCTACTCTCCTACAGTGTCCTTAAACACTCTGATGAACAGCAGTGAAGTTAGAGCATGAAAATGTGGATCTTGGTGATTTTCCTCTTTTTTTCCCTTCCTTCCTATATTGAGCCTCATGCTATCCTACAAGAACATGACAGTCTCCAACTTATTAGCCCTCTTCTGAGTCATTGACCTAACTCAACTTGAACTCAGAAGTTCAGAGATGCATCATGTGGCAGCTCAGTGTTGTGTTGCATTATTTCCTTCACATTTCATGGAACACATAGGATTGGGATTTAGACTGAGATCAAAGGTCTCCTGACTTTCACACTCTAGTAACAGAGCATGATGATGTTGGTAAGAATAGGATAAAAGGAAAATTATTCTGAATAGTGAAAGATGTTCTGAATTAGGACTGTGGTATATTGTTTTAAGCAGGAAGTTAGGACAGTGTCCATGCTGCTTTTTTATTTTGGTAGGGCGGAGTATTCAGGAATACTTTATATATCCATCACCGAGGCATTTAGGAATGAATTTCTTTTTGCGTGTCTTTTGTCTCGCTTTCTACTGATCCCGTTTCTGTTTAATCAATAGAGATGCTGTTCAGCTAAATGTGATTGCCACACAACAGCTCCTCTTCCTGGCACAGCGAATGAAGAATCTGGAAGTGTTTGTGCACGTTTCGACTGCTTACGCGTATTGCAATCGGCAGGTGATCGAGGAAGTCGTTTACCCGCCTCCTGTTGATCCCAAGAAACTCATAGATTCTCTTGAGTACGTGTTATGTTTTATGAAGTTACTTGGGTAATCTGTAACCATTTGCTTCCTAGGAATGAACTGCCAAAAAAAGGTTGGGAGCCCTAAAGATGAAGGGTTAGCTTATACTGTGTAAGTCTGACAACATGGCTGACGCTTCTCTTTCCTGGAAAGGAGATGGATTAAGGTTTATGGTTGCTTTAGGCTGAGCGAGGTATGGAGGGGTACTGTAGGAGAGGGGTGCTCTTATCTACTCATGGTGCCTCCTCTGTGCTGAGAGTGCCAGTCTTTGAGCTGTATGATGAGCTGAATCAGGGGGTATTAAAAAAGTTGTGCTGTTGCAAGTGTACTGGCACTGGCATTTGAAGGAAGGGGATAAAACTCTAAGACAGTCCCCTTGAACAGCAATTGCTACTACATCCACCTAAATGCCATTGCAAGATCAGACTGAGATACTGAAATAATATTGCTTAGCTGTAGTAGTGGTTCTAGGTATTCTGAGAGCCCCAAACATTAAACATCCGTTTTCTGTAGGTTTTTAGTCTTGAATTGGGCATTATAGGAGGAGAAAAATTACTTGCTCTGTACTTTATTTTCTGTGTATATTACCTGTCCTGAGGTAGCTGTCAGACTGTGAAGCAGGTGGCAATATGGGATAAGTGTAATGTAATACATAGTAGTCTCAACTTTAATTAGTCTGTTCTTGTCATATAAAATCTCTGCTTGGAAGAGAAGTATGAAACTGAAAAAAACTAATTAAGAAGTAAAACATCTACTTTAACTTGTTAATATAGGTGGAAGAATGCTAACATTAAAACCAAATGAGGTACCACCTAGACTTCACATTGAGCCAATCATTTTTATAATGTTGACTTTAAGTACACTTTCAAATGAGATATTTTGAAATAGTCCTATGAACTCATGAGGGAAAGGTTTTGTAAACTTAGTGATCTCCTGCTAAGCATGACACAAAAAGCCAGATTTTTGTCCCTTTTTGGGCTTTCCTGCCCTTCTTCCCACTACAATTCATATTACAAAGGGAATCTGGTGCATGTCTGCTTTGATTGTAACAGAATATTGGGGAATAACAAGAAATACCATTTATGTGGCTACGTGACTGAGAACACCAAAGTAGCAATAGTTCCAGAGGTACATCTCTGGTTTGTTTGTGTGCTATGACTGAAGGTTATCACAGTTTTAATATGAACTGGGAAACAAGATGAAGTTGCAAGACTTGACTGATTTAAGGGGAGAAACACAGTGACCAGCTTGCTTCAGAGGTGGTGTGTGATTGCTGACTGCAAAGGTGGAGGTGATGCTCATGATGCAGCTGGGACTCCTTAGCAATAGCAACACCTCCTAGATCATGATGCAGTGAGCCTGTGTTCCAAAGACCAACTTGCAGTGTCTGCATTTCATCTTTGAGAACTTAGTTGATAGAATTCGGATTATTGTAAAGGAATGTACTGCCTGCTCTGTAGTTGGTGTGTACTAAGTGAATTACTTGGGCAAAAAAGTAAATGTCAGTATGCTTCTTTCAGTGGACACTGAGCACACCATCTTCTCTTTTACTGAGAAACTTGTCTTCATTTAGTTGTGTGTCCCTTTTTCTTTAAAGGAGAAGAAGACAATCATAGTAACTTTAGGAATTCACACCCCACACCACCAGGGAAGCAGCATGCAGTAATTACACTTGCTTCTTGTTTTGTTTCTTTAGGTGGATGGATGATGACATAGTGAGTGATATTACTCCTAAACTGTTGGGCAACAGACCCAATACTTACATCTATACAAAAGCCTTAGCTGAATCTGTAGTGCAGCAAGAAGCATCAAAGTTAAACATTGCCATTGTGAGGCCGTCCATCGTTGGTGCGAGCTGGAAGGAGCCTTTTCCTGTAAGTCACCGAGTTTTCACCTGACTATCTTGCCTGTGAACTGCAGGACACACTGACAGCCTCTTTATCTAGTGACTTTGTAGGGGAAAATCTCTTGGACTATGTAGTTGTGTCTTAGTTGCTTCTGAATAACAACTGATACAAAAGCTGTCAAAGACAGTATTCTGATGTGTGAAATTCAGGCGTAAATTACTCCGATCATAGAACAATAATACATTTGTATCACAATGGGAGATACTATTTCACTCATTAAATAAATAGTCAACTTTTTACTTCATGATTCTGCATATCTTCATCTGGTTGTATCAGCAGCTTCAAAGGGTGACTAAGAAAACAGATCTGCGGGACATAAAGATGTTTTGACTTTTAGTCAAACCGTGTAAGCTTTGCAGGGGGATGGCATAAGTTCTGTGTGCTGTGCTGTTGTATAGCATATATGCTTCCTCCTGTATGAGAGAGTGGTGTTGGATTAGCTTCTCCAGTTCAAGACAGACTGTTTCTCAAGCCCTTAAAATTCATATAATTGACTTTGCCTACGTATTGAAGCATGTCCAATGTACATGTCAAACCAGTGAGTATATAGTGTCTAAATACTATCATTAAATTTGAGCAAGAATGTGTTCTGTGTGGAAAAAATGAGAAAAATGAGTTGCCAGAAGCTGGTCTAAAAATATTTGTAAACTTGAATACTTGCAACATAAACATATTTTTATGGACAATGCCTTGCAGTTCATTCACTAAGAAATAAATAAGCTGGCATCTCGCTTTGAAGGACCACCGAGTCTACAGGTAGATCTCTTATCTGAGTCACAGGTACTTGCTACATCACCAGATTTTGCTATGGAAGAGTTAGAGATATTTAATATCTTTCTCCTCTTTATTCTCTTTTACCTCCACCCCTTACACTTATAGAAACTTCTCAGATTTTCACTTGAACCTGCTGACTTCAGTATCCTCTAACCAAGTTGTTTCTCTCCCCTGTTCATAATAGGGCTGGATTGATAACTTCAATGGACCTAGTGGTATCTTCATTGCTGTAAGTAATGAATATACTTAATTTTCCCCCCTCCTTTTAGAAGGCAACGAAGCTTCATATGTTTTACTGGTGGGTCTTCTGTCTCTTTTTTTTTTGTTGTTGTTTTTGTTTTGTTCTTTAAGGCAGGAAAAGGAATTCTTCGAACAATGAGAGCTACCAACGATGCAGTAGCAGATCTTATTCCAGTAGATGTTGTTATCAATGCTACACTGGCTGCAGCCTGGTATTCTGGAGTTCACAGGTATAACAGATGACAAAAGAGAGTACTAAATATTTTGAAATTATATTGTGTGTTTAATAATTCAGTCTTCTATTGAACTCCTCGTCAGTGTCCTGCTATTCCCTCAGGACAAAGGAGTCTAAGGTTCTGATGGCGTTAGTCTCTCAAAGTGTAACTTATTTATGCCAAAGAGGAAGACATCATCTACTGATACTGTTGTACAAACTCTGTCTGAGAATTCTTTCCTGGGTCTTGTAATCAATACAATCCGCAGTAATGTAGGTGATGCCTTCTCTGAAATAAAAGAAATACGATAGTTAAAGAAGGAGAAAAATGCTGGAAGATGATACAGAAAGCAAAAGAAATCTACTATGAGATTGATGCTTTCTGCTTTATGTAAAGGATGCTGTTGAGGGAAAGGATAACTTTGAGCATGTCTTTTGTTGTCTGTGTTTTTAAAAGTTTGTTTTTCTTCTAACTGGCTCTTCTGTTGTTTTTCCCCCCCCCCCAGACCAAGAAAACTCATGGTGTATAATTGTACAACAGGTGGCATCAACGCTTTCCACTGGAGTGAAGTTGGTATGCCTTGTTTATTTTCTCTCATTAGTCTTAATAGAAAAAATAAGGTAAAACAATCAAAGCACAGGCCGTAATCAGTAGATCATATTGCATTTTTATTGTTGAAACTGGTATTGTAGCCATACCTCTCAATTTTGCAGTGTACAGTGCTTTTTCATTATCTTCCATTGTTAATTCTCTCCTCCCTCTCCCCCTGCAGCATTATCACCATTTCATTTTGTGCTGGGTTTTTTTTTTAATTATTCTTATTCCATTATAACTTAAACTATGGGACAATTGATTTTTCTGTTTGATGCTACTCTGACCTAATCTGAAGAATGTGGGTAGTGTGTGGAGAAAAGCGTTGCTCAGAGGAGCAGTAGTGATGTTGGGTGTAATGCCAACTTTACTAAATACATATGGATAAACAGCCCACAATTAAGTGGTTTGTACATCTGCATAATTGAGAGGTATGGTAATAGTTTTGCCCTTGTGTAGCTCTTTGCCCTAAGTTAATTCTTGGTTGAGATGGCTTTTTTAATCTTAAAACAGCTGCATGACACTTCAACTATTCATGTACAGGGAAAAGTAATTTTTAAGGAAGTGTGGCTGCCTATTTTCAACTCCTAGATATCCTAACTAGAATGTAACCCACAGCTTTGTAATAGTTTTTGTTATAAATAGCAATATAAGCTGGCTATAAACTTCAATAATCTATTTTATTTCTCTTTACTACTTTTTTCACACTTTTGACTTGCTTTTGCCCATTTTATATGTAGCTGTAGTTACAAGCATTATTGCTTCAACTAAAATTGGAAAATTGCTGATTTATATCCTCGTTTTAATCAGGGTATTTAAGCACTGTCTATAGCAACAGCATAAAGTTAGAAGATTTAAAGGGAGGCTAATTTCCACTTAACTTTTAAGGACACTGATCCTGCATGTCTATCACGTACTGAATTTACAGGTGCCATCAGGAGTTTCACATGAAGTCCCATCCTAATTGCTTTTTTCTTAATGCTTAAATTTGGATAAGTTGTTTAAAAATGCCATTTAAAATTCACTTGGGATGCTTGCAGAATCCTCAGTCTGTTTTTAAATTCTTCACACAAGAGATTGGAATAACCTTCTTCATGAAATACAGATGACTTTTTAAATAGCTTTGTAAACTGAAATTGCTGTCAGTGTTCGAAACCAACAACTTCTAAGGTAGGGAAAGAGGAAGAGAAAGAGAGAAGCTACCATAAAATATGACACTGCTACAATAAAACATGATACTGAAGATGAAGGCATAAAAGACCTCTTGATTATAGTAAGAACCAGTTCAACAGTATTTTAGGTTAAGAGCTTTTGACTGTTTTGTTTTCTGTGAATTGTAGAATTGTATGCTGTAATGTTCTTTGAAAGCCATTACATTTTACATGGTTATTACCGAAGCTGTTATGCAACTTTTCTTCTCAGAATACCATGTAATTTCTACTTTCAAGAGGAATCCTCTCGAACAGGCCTTCAGACGGCCCAATGTAAATCTAACTTCCAATCACCTTTTATATCATTACTGGATTGCTGTAAGCCATAAGGCCCCAGCATTCCTGTATGATACCTACCTCAGGATTACTGGAAGAAGCCCAAGGTAATGGTGACTGGCTCTGTCTTTTCTGTTCCTCTGACTTTTAAACAAAGCTGTGCTTACGCTATGATGTATATTGGTTTTCAAAAAATTTTTTTTCTTTCCCTGAATGTTTTGTGACTAAAACTCAACCTGTTTTTTCCTGAGAACAGGTCCTGGAATTCCAAGTGACTTCGAACTTTCTAGCAAAAATGAGAATGGTTTTTGTTGGATAGTTTGGGGATTTGAGTAAACAGAATTAAAGGATGTATAGCAAGTGATGTTTATTCTTGAATAATAAATACTAAAAATATGTTGATCCTTATTTTTTCCTACAGTCCAACACATGACTGTGATTTCCAGGAAATATCCATTAGAGAATGCAATAAGGATACCTGCATTTAGGCTTACAGATCGGGCCCTTGTATGCCAGTTGCACCGTGCACATGGCAGAGTGTTTGCATTTTTCTTTGATGTTTTGCTGAGACTGAGAGGTCAAAAAACAGGGTAAGAAGGACAGGGCTGAAACTATGTTGCCCTGCAAGGTGGTGGAGACTTGTGAAGAAGACGTGACCTGGGCACTATCTCCATTTACTAAGTATGAGCAATAACGATCCAGTGGCCGCATTTTGAAGAGATTAATGACTGCCCCAAAAATGCTGTCCAAGATACATCTCAGATCAGAATCTTAGTCAGTCATTAAACTCTAGGAAGGCGCTTGCATTAGGATTGTTGTTGCTTTTATAAACTGAAAACGGAATGGGAGACAGGTTTTAATTGTGGATTATTCGTGTAGATGATACGACTTGATCTGATGTGTTGGCTTGTGTCATCTCAACATTCCGTTTAGTTTATAATATTTACACCAGTATTTGCCTAACTAAAGTGGTGAAAATGGCATATCTCTGCTAAATAGGCTAAACTAAATTATGTAGAAGGAATATAAGATGTCACTTCAATTTGTTTCAGATTGGCCAAGCCGTTAGCTCTTAACTCAATGCTTATGTTATGTTTTCAAAACTATTTGTCTTCAGACTATAAAATCTCCACAGTGGTGACAGTGTATTAACACAAGTGAGTATCCATTTGCTGTCCTGAAGTCTAGGTCTGTCTTACAAGGAGACTAAAGCTCTGTAAAACACTTAGCACTGGATCAGTAGAAAGAAGCTGTGTAAGTGGTTTGTAGGAGAAAACTTCTAAACTGCCTTGGGCTCTGTTGTTCCAAGCCTACACAACAGTGTAATGCTTAGGGCAACAGTAGTGGCAGGTGTCTGTGCCTGCATAGTAATCTTCCCACGTTAAAAAGTTGTGAGATCTTCAGCTCTAAAGAAGGTATTGTACATAAAGGTTCCTAGCTTCTAGATTCTTTCGCATTTTTTAAGTTATACTTAATAAAAATTGATAGTAATTCCCTAAAATATTTGTACTATAAGTGCTTTCAAATGGTTGTGAGGGAATGCTGCCAGAATCTTGTCAGGCTTTGAAAATCTTTTAAGTATTTGACCACTGGGAATAGAATAAAGCTGTGAATAATCATGTTGTTTAGGACACTCTAGCAGTTTTATATTATAACACTGGGAATGTTGAACCTTGTTGTTGCTTTTCTCGAAGTTCTTACCTGATGTCCAAAGATGGAATTTAGAACTTTAATCACTAGTAGTAAAATTGGTGACATTAATACTTCCCAGAATAGAAAATACATTTTTACAGACAAGAATATTCCTAAGTAGTTTAATGTAAGAGTGGGTGGATCAGTTTCCTATTAAGCACAAGATTTCCAGTTTGGAGAAAAGATGGAAGATTGAACTAGAACAAGCTATTGTTCAGTCACAGCTTTTAAGTTGGATACCCAGCCCACTTACAGGAAGGCAGCTTTCATTATATAGTGCTCTTCTCTCTTTTTTTAAAGCATTTAAAAATTGGAGTCTGCAATAGGAACAGTAGAAGCAAATAAATAAATGTAGTTGCAAGCAAGACGTGCAGTGTTAAATCTTAATGGAACTCTTGTTGTTTAACAATAAGGAAGTTTGAGGCAGATCTTTACTCTTGTACTTTTTTCTAGTCTTCTGCCTTAAAGTACTTTAAAAGCTGCTTTAACTGATGGGCTGGAGGGTTGTGCTACTGTTGCTGTGGTCATCCTGTCAGTTGACAGAATGGTTTTAATTACCAGGTAGCAGAAACTTCTGAAGACATGGAAACATTATTGGATATTCTTAAGCTCAATATAATGCTGTTCTGAGTGAAGAAGGGCTGGCTTAATTTAAAATGTGACCTTTTCCACCATGATTTAGCAGAAAAACTTGAGCAGTGTAGTAAGAATCTAGTAAAATAGCACAGGAAAATTCAAATACTCTACTAACCTGACTTCACATGGTCAGTAGCCTGCCCTCTCTGTGCTGAGTCTGAGTACACTGAGGTCTTACATTGTGTACAATGCAAGAAAAATAAGCAATGAAATTACTGTGTAGGTTTAACTGCACTGTTGTCATACAATCAGGATATTGTACTGCAACTGAATTAATTTTTAACAAGTGGAAGAAATAGATCAGGCCTATGATCCTTCAGAACTACATGATTATGTTAGTAATAATAATTAAAAAAAAAAATCTTCCTATTTGGGGTTTTCAAAACACGTGTTGTAATCTCTCTGAAATATGAAATAGTTCTTTTGCACCTCACTTGTGGAAGCAATGTTTTTTATGAGATGGAAATTTTTTTGCTGTTTTTGCATCTAGTTGAAGGTTCTTGACTTTAATGATTCACTGATAATATTAACAGGTAAGGGAAGAAATAATGCCTGTAATATTTCTTCCAAATTTGTATGGAAAGAACATGTACAATAAGGATTGGCATAATGAAGATTTAATATTTTGTACTGAATACTTAGAACTGCTAGAGGATTGTGCAATTACATAAATAGTGGTGATAATCCTTAGCATCTGAGTTTAAACACAGTGTTGCCAGTAGCTTGCCATATATAGCTAGTTGCATAGCAAAGCTTATTAGTTGTCTGATTATCTTTAATATAAGGCATAGTTCGCTCATGTAACTTTACATAGTGCTTAGCATGAAAGAACCATGTTATTTAAAAACATATTGGTATATTTGTAATATGAAAGCCTTTAAAAATACACACCCAGCAGATCTTTCCAGTTACTCTGAAAGAACAAGACGTGGCACGAAATATTTAAAGTTGTAATTCGGGGATTTCTCCGGCAATTCGTCTTCTGTCACTGCTTCTTAGAAAGCTAAAGGGAAGGTGTGGCTGATGTATGTAGGGAGGTGTAAAGGACATAATTTCACATGTGTTGTTTCAATTTAAAGCTCCTTAAAATCGAAGCACCTTTCACATAGTTACTGTCTCACGAACCAGAAATGAGTGAAGAGCATGCTCTTTTTGAATGGATCAATACTTTTATTTCTCTTGGAAGTGGCTTAAATTGTTCACTTAAAGGAACCACAGAGCTGCTGGAAAGATGAGAATTCAGTAGTATGTCTTACACTTAAATTTACAGCCAGATGAAAATCTGAAGAAGACAAATCTAAAAGCTTGCTCTATGTTTCTTAGAGAAGTCTTTAAAAAAAAAAAGGTAAAATAGTTAGCTATTTGTAATGCTTCTGCAGAGACTTGCAGATGGACAGCCTGTAGATCCACAGAAGGATTAGTCTGTATTTAGCCTCAGGACTGGTTTTAGCCTGGAGGCAATAGGGTGTGTGTAAGACCCCTTCAAAATACAGTTGTAGCCTTAAGCCAGGTCTCTTCCAGGTGTGTGGTGTAGAAACAAGCCCACCTAACTCATGGATAATTGAATTAACTTGCTTAAACTTTTAATTCCTGTGATGTGCTTCTCAAACTGATGTAATGTATTTAGTGTTGATGGCAATAAGGGCTGCCTAGTAGAGACAAAATTCTACTTAGAACTGAGGTGAAAGTCACCCTGGCTGGCTGCCTGCTGCTGATGTTCAGATCTTTGAGACGGTCAGCAGGTCTGACTTTTTCCTGTCTTCAGCTTATGAAGGAGGTGTGATGCAGTGCTTGATGTTATACTGGCTGGTTATGTATGGTATGGATACTTATGACTCGTATCCAATGGCTGTCTCTGGAATATCTGACCTTCAGAACTTCAGGTTGAGGGATAAAGTTCCATTATGTGTGTTGATGCTCGTTTTTGAGTCATGCGTGTTCCCATTTGCAGGAGGAATACGGTGCTACTGAACTTAGAAAAATTAGTCTGCCAGAGCTACACAAGTGTCCACTAAATGACACCCACTGCTGACATCTCTGAATGAGAGGCTGGTGACAGCCTGCTTTTTTTCCCCCCCTCAAAGTGTGAATTTAGTGTAAACTATCACTGAGAAAGTTAGTCCTCTCCTGCCAACTCTGTAATTAATTGAGCAGCTGAGAGAATGTGGAGACATTTGATTCTTCTGGCTGATATAGAAAGAAACTAACCCTACAAAGCAAAACAGTTTTTTTGCTTGATGAGTTAAAAATCTGCAGCTGAGGTAGAACTTTGGTTGGTTGGTTGGTTTGGGTTTTTTTTGTTATCAGCTCAGCTAAGCTAAAGGTTATTCTTTGCACTGGTTTAAATTCAGTTTAGTTTTTGTTTATAGAAAAGAGTGAAAACTAATGTCAGTGGCCAGTAACAAGCTCCTAATGTACACTTACCTAATCAGATATTCATCTGCACTATTAGTATTTTGCAGGGGCACAAGTTTTCTTAGACTGCAGTGGTTGAAGCATTTTAATCTGGAAAAGCAGCTGCATTTTAGCATAAGAACACAAACTGGGAAAGTTCAAAAGGGCAAGTTAAGTTAAATAATCTTAAGACTGTCAGTGGACAGACCTCTGCAAAAAGTCTTAAATGCCATTTGGCACTATTTTTACCCAGGCCTTTTTGCTATGAGGTCTTTCTGACCGGTGAGATCTTTGCTTTCCAGGTTTCAAGTTGTTTTCTTATTTTTTTTTACTTAATTAACATGCCTTTTTTTTTTTTTTAAGTTCAGCTTAGTCTGGATAGCACAGGATATGTTTTGGATGCAGATTCTATATTCCTAATTATTTTTGCATCAGAGGAGCTCTGGTCCAACTCAGCCCCCACTGTTGCCACCTTGCCCAACTGGTGAAATTATAAGCAGATTTTTGAAAGCATCTAGAGATGCCTATTAATAAAATCAGCTGAATACAGTTTGAATACAGTTCTGAATTACTCTGTAAATAGATTCCTATGGGGTTTAAGGAAAAATACTTACTTTTTGTGTTTTAGAGATACAATAATTTTTCAGTAGCCTTGGTGATTTGTATTACTCTATTCCATGAGAAGAAAAAGAGGAAATTTTAATATACCCTTAGATACTGAGATACCAGCTGCTAGTGACAGTAGGGGACACTAATGTGATGCAAAGTACTTTCTTTAGGAGATTTTCTGGGACAATGTACTATATCCCTTCTACAAGTAGGAATGCATCAAGGCAGCTTTCAGGGAAAAATCAGTTGGTTTCTATTGCTTCTATGAACTTTATTGAACAAAATTTACCTTTGGAAAGCAATTTCCTGTTATTGCTGGATTCTGCTTTCTTTGCCACCCCCCATATCACTCTGTGCTTAAAATGCTCAGTGTGTCCTGCTATAAGGATCAAATTGGAAGCAGTTTTCCATTTCTGCAAGATGGATATACCTTTGAGCACCTGCAGCAGGAATTTAATAGCACTAGGTCACGTGGTACTAGTTAGTACTTACTAAAATTGAGTCTCTAGCACTGTGATACTTGAAACAGTTTTCTTGTCATAAATGTGGAAGCTTTGCATCTGAGAGACGACTCACATTATATTTTGGGTCCACTTCAGGTGGTATGATCAAAGAGAAACTTGCCCAAATTGATCCTTATAACATAATTTCTCTGTACTCCAAGTGATGGTTTTGTAGACTTGCTTTCTCTGCATAATAAGGGATGATGGAAGGTATTTCTGCATGTTTTGAAGTAGCACAGAATGGTCATGTAACAGGATTTGCTATGATCTGTCTGTGCCCTTAAATATTTTCCTGCCCTTTGCTGCTGATGGTTTTAAGCCTTGATCTCTTAGTGACAATTTTGTTCTGTTACAGAGCTCTGGTCTTGCACAGTATACAGAAAGATCAGGGAAACTTCCTGCCTTGTTTAAAGTTGTCCTGCACAGATGTTCTGCACTGTGCAATTTGAGTCTTTCTTCAAGTCAGATTGTTCAGTACAATCAGATATTCCAGTGTGCTGAAGGGAAAAGTGTTCCATCTCTGTGTCCTAAACTAAGAGTTACCAACAGAAGACAACATATTTTTTCCCCCTAATAGAAAAGAAGAGGTGGTAACATACTGTTGCACTGGGAATTAGGATTAGGAAAAGAGATCTGTCTGATAATTTCTGATTTTGTGTAAAGATCCAGCAGCCAAAGTCCACTTCAATACTATGCAGAAATATCCTGTTGATCTTATATAATGTGCTTTAAGTACAGAGCAAGATGGAATATGTTATCACAGAGGTATGGGGTTGTAGGGTAAAAAATTTATAATCTTACTGTCTGTTTTACTTGTTTGAACTAATCTTTACCCCTGTAATCTGTCCATTCCATGCCTTGGACTGTAGGATGATGAAAACAATAACACGTCTTCATAAGGCCATGATGTTGTTAGAATACTTTACAAGCCATTCTTGGACCTGGAATAATGAAAATATGACTATGCTGATGAACCAGCTAAACCCTGATGACAAAAAGGCAAGTAGCTGTGTGATGTGGGCATGGAGACTGAGTGAAATATAAGCTTATTAATGGAAGATTGAATAAGGACTTGATCTAGTAATGCTGCTCACTGTAGTGTGGAGCTAACCTAGCACAAACTGGGCACTGGAGATTCCATTGTGATCCTTTCAGCTGTGCCAGGGCTGTGTTACAAGCTGGATCAGGGATGTGGTCAGAGATGAGGAAGGGCAGGACTCCCATGAAGGGGGCCTGATATAAGAGTGGATTGTCTTTGGAGCCAAGCTGTTACCTTTCTACCTGCCTCACAAAATAAAACAAGGCTTTACTTTTTTGACCGCTGCCTCTTGTCTGAGGAACAGGAGGTGTGTCTTGAGGTACTTTTTTGCTTGTTTTTAAACCAGTAACAAATTTCATATACCCTTTGCATGCGTTGGCCATAGAGCCACATGTGTTCAAAGAAATTTAAGTTCTCATTTCTTTCTGAAGCACACTCTTGCTGTGTGACTAAAACTGCCCCATGCAGGGGGAGAAGTGAAACAAGTGGAATGACAGTCTGTTGAGGAAGAAGAAAAACTGATGTTTGGAAGAAGGAAAACCAATCTCAAATTAAGTGTAGCAGGTTGTCCCCGGCTGGATAGCAGGTGCTCACCAAAGCTGCTCTTTCACTTCCTTCCTCAGCTGAGCAGGGGAGAGAAAATATAATGAGATAAGGGCAGGGAGAGATCCCTCACCAGTTACTGTCATGGGCAAAACAGACTCAGCTTGGGAAATTAGTTTAATTTATTACCAATCAAATCGGACTAGGATAATGAGAAATAAACCCAAATCTTAAAACACCTTCCTCTACCACTTCCTTCTTCCCAGGCTTGACTTTGTTCCCAATTTTCTCTACCTTCTCACCCCACAGTGTCTCAGGCCCCCCCAAATAAGTTTAATCTTCCCTTTATCTGTGGCTTTGTTGGTTAATCAGCTGAATAAAAATCATCATTTACAGTTCTGAACACTCAAATTCCGTTTTGCATTGGAACAGTTTTGTCATTCTTAAGCTGTCTTTCCTATTGAACTGTTTTTCAGAATCAGTTCTGTAGTTATTTTGAAGAAAAGCTGCCAAATTTCTAGATAAACTGCCTAAAAGTAAGAAATATAATACCTTTTGATGATTTTTTTTTTTTGTGTGGAAGGTACTTCCACCCCTTCCTGCCCTCTGGTCTCTTCCCAGCAACTTGAGTTCAGGAAAAGTTTCAAAAACAACACCCCAGAGCTTTGGACTGTTCATGTTTTCAGATAGCTGAATTGTCAGTGAGATGTGCATACAGCAAGAAAGAATTAGTGGAAATAATAACTGAACTTTAACATTCTTGCTATGATGATGTGTTATGAAAAATAAAGTTAGAGGGATTCCAGTAACAGAACTAAAAGGCTGTTCAGCATGAATGTATTTTATATGACTAGAGGTGCACCTGACCTTTAACTTGCAAACAATGCTTATTACAAAGAGGAAACTTGAGTTGTGAATTTATCACAGTAACTTCCTCTGCTGAGGAAGACACTTGTATGGTTGTCCTTAAAATTTAGCTGTACAGCTCTAAGCACAGCTAGAAGAACCCTTCATTTATCAAACAGTGAACCTGGCACAGAGCATAACAGAATTATTTAGTTGCCTAAAAGTAAACAACATAATGGAAAACAGTTTTTAGAGTGGAATTCCTTACAGAGAATCGAAATGGGAAAACAGTTCACTTGGAAGTGGAGTGAAGAATGTTACTGCTGAGGAGGGAAAATAAGGCATGAAATGGTTGAAATTTGAAAGAGATGATCTAAGAAGCTGGTGGTCAAGTCAGAAATGGGATCTAAATCTGGATCATTCTTAGGATTAAGGATAGGATAAGTTTCTTGCATCGAAGACAAATTGGAATTATCTGGAATAAAGACATTTATTTTCCTTTATATAACAGGCGAATTTTTAGGCAACTAACAGTGAAAGCTTTTATTTTGTGCAGATGTTTAATTTTGATGTTCGACAACTACACTGGGCAGAATACATGGAAAATTACTGCATGGGAACAAAGAAATATGTGCTGAATGAAGAAATGTCAGGCATCCCTGCAGCTAGGAAACACTTGAATAAGTAAGTATAATTTTTTATTTTCCTCTGTTTATATTCTCTGTGTCTTCCTACCTTTATCCAGTTTCGCTTTTCCATGTTATGACTTAGTTTTTCTTTGTAGCACCTATTGGTCCTCCACAATTCTTCTGTTCCAGTCCAGTGGTCTGGAACATTCTCTAAAGAAGTTTTGTTTGTTGATCCCGAGTTGCTCTCAGTATTATTAGTTACAGTGTTAGTCTGGGATTATGGTTGTAGCTCTGATCACTGGTGTGTAATGTAATCCAGGTTTCTGATTTTACCCAGGTATCTTTTGGAAGGTAAAAAGGTACACGGTTACACAGGGTCAGAAGAGCTTGTTCAGGAGGTTTAATAGAACAATAGTTATTTCTTCTGGAAATGTGACCTTTTGAAGCTGAGTAAACAGGCAGAGACTCTCCACTTCAGGGCAGGACACTGATGTTGGTGCTCTAAGACAGCTTCCCTTAGCCTTTCCTCTGTGGCTTAATTCCTCCAATTTGAGTGGGTTGCTGCTGTCCAGAATTTTACTACCACAGTTGCCCTTGTTTTGTTCTTGGCTGATTCATAAAGGCAGTTGTAGAATTTCTGATTTGTCTCTTTTAAGAGTGGAATAAAAGTAATTAATCTTGTTCTGCAATACTACATCATGTCTGCTACCCTGATAGCACAAAGAGAAACAATCTAGGTCATGACTTGTGTTGTCATTCTAAAGACAAGGATTTGCAGTTGCAGAGTGTTTTGATGTGTGCTAAAATCACAAATACACTTTTGAAAGATGGTATCTCTGATAATGGTGGGAATAGTTCAAGAAGTGTCCTCTTCTGATTTCTTTTTTTTTTTAAATAATTTAGGTGCTGTTAAAAAGTGCATAGGAGTTATCATATAGTTGCTATTCTTTGTACAAAGGATCATATTGAAAATAACATGAGAAATAATCTTGTACCGGAGCAGCATCTGGTTGCCCCAGCTCTCAATTTATAAGTGGATTTCTTTGCAAGAGGTTTAGATTCTAATATATGTTTACTCTGAAGTATTAATTTGATCTCTTGTTACCATCTAGGTCTTAACTCTAATCTGAATTTGAGGAGTCCACCACTTTAGTATTGACCAGATTTGGCAGCCTAGGGAAAATGTTTCTCTAGGATAGATTTGATCCTCAGATAGAAAAGGGGACTTGGCTTTTGTAACACAGAAATTTAAACTGGTTTTTTTTCTGCAAATAAAGTGTGTAGAGGAACATAGCCCACCTGTAAAACAAGAGCAGTATTTCCTTAAAAAGAACTGCCTTTAAAACACAAATTGTCATGATCTGCTGAGCCACAGAGATTGCTCTGTTTCTAAGAAATCTGAGCAAATTCTGGTTGCTGTTTGTCTTGAAGCTTTCATCTCTATATGTGAGAAGCTTGCTTAAAAATCACAGTTGCCCTAGAAGGTCACTTAGTTTCTCCTAATCTTTAAATATATTTCCCTGAGAACTAAGGAGTTTAAAATTGCAGTGAAGATTCCAGATTCTGTGGCTGGAAATGTGTCTGGAAAATCCGATGAGTTTTGTTTGATGGAGTGTGGTGGTGGTTTTTTTGTTGTTGTTGTCAACAACAGCAGTTGGAGTTACTTCTACATGTATATGAAGTTCTAAATACGTGGTGGGGAGGAAGGAAGTTTGTAGTGTAAATATTTCCTAGCTTTTGGCAGGGTAAGTTACCATGTCTGTGACCTTGGCTTGAAGAGGTTTCTGTCGAGCAGCTATAAAGCAGAAGTACATGTGGTTGGCTCCAGGGCTGGCTCTGTTCCTTATTTTTCATTCCATTCCACTTTTCAGCAGTGAGAAACCTTCTCTGTTTGGTCCTTCACTTATCCACTTATATTACGAGTTGCGTTAAGTGAGTGATGAATCTTGGGATGAACAGATTCTACACTAGCAGTTAATTTTTAGTGTGTCCTTTCTTCCCTCTGAGTCCTGGTACCTTGGCTCTTGATTATTCCTTTTGTTTTTCCCCAGGTTAAGGAACATCCGCTATGGCTTCAACACAATCCTGGTGATCCTGATCTGGCGCATCTTCATCGCGAGGTCGCAGATGGCGAGAAACATCTGGTACTTCGTGGTTAGTCTGTGTTACAAGTTCCTCTCCTACTTCAGAGCCTCCAGTACTATGAGATACTGAAAAAGAGAAATTTAGCATTAGGACATCTATGCATATGGTGGTCTAACTGCACAAAACCTGTAACATGTAGTCATCTCACATTTTGTAAAAGCATAATTTCATCTTTTAATTGGAGTGCGAAATAAACGGTATGGTATCTGTAATGTTAGTTGTGTACCTTCCTGGAAACAGAGGAAATGAAATGGTCAAGTGCCAGGTTGAATTGGCATTAGACAAGCATTTGGGTAACTTTAACTCTTTGGCCTGGGGAAAACATATTAGACCACTGACCAACATAACTGTGCAATTTGGAACGTGTTTGATTGAAATCTGCCTTAACATGATTTTTTTTTTTCTTTTAAGTTTTACTCCACATTGAGCAAGATAAATATTGACTTAGTAGATACTAGATGCTGTAGACCTATTTATTTGAAATTCTTCTAAATTACAAAGGGTTTTGCAAGTTGAAAAAGTGTATAAATGATGGTGGATCTCCTGAAATAAAAATTGAGGACTTTCGTAATTTGTCTTTACGTTTTGCCACTTCTTCCCTTCTCCTCAAAGTAGGGGTGCAACAATGGTGCCTCCTTTGCTTTAAAAGAAAAAAGAAATTAAAAAGTGAACCAACCTTCTTTATTTACTGAAGGGCCTTTTGTACAATCCGGGCCTCAGAATGCACTTGGTGATTCAGTTCTATGCTTGAAACTGGCTGTGTCCAACTTGCATTTATGTTGGCATGAACAGTTTGCTTCTCTGAAAGCAGAATTGATTCTATCATTGAGCAGATAAAAGGAAATGTAACCCTGAGGGGCGCAAATAAAGTCATTGACTGTCCTCTTTTTAATGATTTTTTTTATTGGGAACACAGAGCCAGCACTTGATTGTTACACTTCTGACTTCAAAGGGTAAATATAATGGAAAGCAATTTATTATGCTTAGTTGCTATTTATATTACTGGTAATAGTAGCTGGAAAACTATAGACTTTCATTAAGAGATATACCTGTTTTTAAGTCGTAAGCAATGTTAGCAAATACTTTATGAATTAACAATTTTTTTAAATCTTTGAGCTATGAAATTTGATGCATGGACAACACCAATGCTCAAGCACACTTTCCATCCCTGCCCTAGTGAACCTCATCATACTGGGCAAGCAGAGTAAGATGCACCTTGCTTCAAAATGAATAGATGTTAACAGTTCTTCCATCCGTCTTTTAACTTAAATTATCAGGTTTAAATCTGAAGAAATCTGGGGGTTTTTTTTCTGCATGTTACTTTGTTTCAGTAGGGAAAACGTCTGTAAAAATGGCAAGTTGTAAGAAAAGATTGAATCCTTGTTTCTTTAATCCAAGGCAATACATGAAGTTCCCTTTAAATTTTGGTTGCACAGCATTTGGTTTGAGAACACTGTAGTGTTCCTCTAATTGATGCACTGTCCAGCACCCTTGCCCAGTATTTGTTCATTAAAATCACTTTATACTGATGAATTTGTTCTTGAATCTGCCTGGAAAGGCAAATAATGAACTTAATTACACAAGAACTACATTATGCTTGCCCTTGGTAGCTTTTTGTCCTATTTGAATTAAATATATAAAGAACTTATTTTGCTATTTTTCTGAAAACTCTTACTTTAAAGAGAACACCTTTCCTGCAGGTGTATATCTCATTTTGAAAAGATAATGGCTTCCTTGTTGAAGCTAAATATTCTGTAGTAAGTAGTTAAGCTGTAATTCCTTTTTAAAATGACCTGTGTATATATAAAGCTAGTGGTGAAAAGCCTAAATGGTCTAGGACCACACCTTGTGTGAGAGACCTCTGATTGTGGCTGAAAATAAAGTAAGGCTTCTGTGCTTGAAGATGTTACACTTTAACAAATACATTAGGTGTATTACAGTTTTAGTTGCCTCCCCAAGTATCTTACTAGCCCTGGAAGTATGCTTAAGCATTCCTGAATTGTAGACTTTTTTCAGAGGTGCTTACTGTCCAATTACACCCCTTGTCCCATGATGGCACGTGGCTGAAGTTTGCAAAAGACAAGTACATCATATTGTGGAAGTTATTCTGTGAAACAATTCTTATGAAAACTTATGAATTTTGGTTGTTTATAAACATTATGATATGATACTTTTAATGTTGATTTGTTAATACTGAGAACTATGAAGCCAATGAACTGCTTATTTCTGGTCTAAAACACTGCTTAGAAATCTAGTCTTTTGAATAAGTAACAAAGAGAAGGATTACTTTAAACATAAGGATATTTAACCTCTACTCTTTAAATATTTGCCAATTTAGAAACCCATTTTTTCCCCTTTTTGGAGACTGTTGTTCTGTGCCCTGTTGGTATCTTACACGATTTCATCAGTCATCCTATTTAGCTGCCAGTAGATTCAGTGTCACATTTATTACACTGGTTTTGTCACTTCCTGTGGTCAGTCTGTGAAATTCTATCTGAAGCTCTTGGTTTTTTCCCATATCAGGGCCTTGTCCTCTTGCAGTTCTTCACACAGTGTTTGCACATAATGGATGTTGGTCAAAAATATACTGGAACTATATTTTGGTACATGGAGCTCGACTCACTGTTTTGACTTGCAAGTTACAGGAGGGGTATCAGTTGGTTAATAGGAAGAAGATCAGACTGAAACAACATTATCACTTAACTGTTACTGGTATTTAAATTTGGGACCAGGAAAAAAAAAATTACATTTTCCTGTAATGTTCTTCTCTGCTGTAGGAACATGTTTGGAAACAAATGCTAAATCTGTGAGCTTTTATAAGACATAAACAGAAATATTGGGTGCCTTTGTTTGTAAACCAAAAATAAACAAATCCCTTGAAAGTGTTGTTGCAGTGTTGGTTGTATCTTTTTGTGCGTTCAGTCTAATTTGTGGAAAATAACTGGATAATGTAAATGCCAGCTTAATATACATGAACCTGCCCTTTGTGAGAAACTATGAAGTTCACGACTGATTCTGCATTTAAAAAAAAAACCAAAAAACCCCAGAAAAACCTTCACAAGCACAAACCAAAAAAATAAACCACACACCCCCACAGCCCCCCAATGGGGGGTGATATCAAAACACAGGGTGAGATTTGCCTAGTCATGGTGACTTTTTTGTCTGTTAGCTACTTTTCTCCTTGCTGTCACTGCTTGTTCATTTGTAGCCTTAGTTTCAAATTTACCTAAATAGCATAAACCATCTGCTTTTTCATATGGTTTAAAAGGGTACTGTGGTTTTACAGAAGCTTTAGGATTAATATTTCAAGGAATCACAAGCAACTATAGTTATTTATGGCATCTACATTTTGTGGTGAGGGAGTGAAAGGTAGCATTAAGTTAATGCATCACCAAAATGCCTTGGTTTTTTTGATTTTTACCTTAATTTCTTGGAATATCCAGATTTCATGGATTCTTCCTCCTTTTATCAAGAACACAGTTCTAGAGATCATGCATGATCTGTAAGCAGTGGTTTGGGGTCTGACAGCTTTAAGCATAACCTTTCCTTTAAGACTAAAACCACCAGATACAGATGTTTTTTGTTGGTCTCAAAGATTCATAAGTGGAAACAAGGAACAAAAACGTTTTAAGATGTTGTGTCCCTTATGTCTTGTGCTCTTGAACATTTTACCCTTTCTTCATAGCACAGTATTACATCCTACATTGTTCAGAAACAAAGAACAGGTTTATAAAGGTAACTTGGATCTGAGGAGCACCCTGCACCGAGCTGGGAGGTAAAACCTTGATACTATTTTTACTTGTTTCCTGATGTGCTGAGCAAACGTCAAAACAGAAATGCAGAAAAGTCACCAAAGAAGTGCTGCTCTGGAGAAACGTAAGTGAATTGCTTTAGGTGTGTTCTTGTTGTTTGCCAATCTTTTTGTGCTGAAGCATGTGCAGGTTTTGTGTAGCCTGGAGGCATTCGCTGTGGTTTGAGTAAATCTCCAGGAAATGTGAAATAGCTCCAGTGGAGCTGATAGGAATTGTCTGCTCTTATTTTCAATACGTGCCGTACCATCAGAAATTGAGAAGGGAAGGTTGACAGGTCTCACTTTTCACTTTAAATTCTAGGTTTTCTTCCTCTCTTCTGGAGCATTCTTCAGAGTTTCAGACCACTCTGTCCTCCTTTCTGCCTGCAGATGACTGAGTTAAAGGTTGTGTAACCAAACTGTGAGCTGCTGCTCTGCCATCTCGAACTAAATTTAACCCTGCTTCCACTTTCAAGATATTTATAAACACTTCCCTCCTCAGTGTTATCTTAGTACTTTTCTTCAGTGCAGAAACTCTGGCTTTCCCTGCTCTGCAACTAATATGACTCACTGATAGTTAATTAGTAATTATGCAACTGTCTTTTCTGGAGTATGGAACAATGACAGCTTTGAGCAGCTTTTATTCTTACTCTGGGAAGCAGGAGAAACCATGACTAATTGGTGAAAGCAAAAGTTCCAACACATTAATGCAGTGATTAATACTGGAATGCTTGGAGCCATGGGCCCTAGGTAGGGTGAATGGGACTTTTTACTCTTGATTCGATTATAACCATTAACTGCAAGTGTAGTAGTTATTACCAGAAACCTTTAATCTCATTCTGTTTGAATTGTTATACCCTTCAGGACGGTAATTCTGTAGGTACTACCACTTCTGAAAGATTCCTGTCCTGACATGGAGAAGCAAGGCCTCTTTTGCTTCTTAATGAGCATATGAAAAAAAATAAACTTGCCGTAGATTCTTTGAAATGAAAAAATTATAACCACCACTCTACTTACAGTTTTCTGGGGTGTACAATGAACATTAAGTCTTAAATTGCCCTGGCCTCATATGGTTAGAGGTTGTGCTATGTCCTCTGTGTGTCCCATCTCTTCTGTAGAAACAGCAATCCAGTCCACCACCAGCAGAAAGTAGTTATGGTGTTCTTGTTTTAATCAACAACCATCTGATTCACCATTTAAGTGAAAATGATTCAGTATTTAGCCACTATTAACTTTCATGTATCATGTCAGCCTTAATGCAGATTCAAGATGGCATAATTGAATATTTTTATCTTTATGAAACTCAACAGCTCATCCTTTCCTTCGTTCCTGATGAAATTGTCCTAGAACTGGATGTCCAGGGACACAAATAGTTATGCTTGCTTGTTTTAGGCACCTAACTTGGGTGGAATTCAAGAATCTAAAGCTAGGAGACTTGATTTCCTTCAGTATACAGCTTTCTCAGTATGATTCAGAATCATAAGGCAAAAGCTTAAAATAAGCAGAGTCTTTGCAAAAGCAGTCACGTTGTGGGGGGAGAGAGAGACCTGTGGAAGTAAAAGGAAATGGTTAAACTAAGGGAGAAGCAGGGTGAATATGCTTAATATTAGTTCTCATGTTATGTATGTGGAATTGACTCTGTATTGGCAGTGTGTTGTGTCCTGTGGTTCTTGGTTTGCAATGTATGTAAAGCTTGTGGTCCAGGCAGATAAATCAGACAGCAAGTTAACTCTAAGGGAGCAGGTGTGTCAGCTGGCTCTTCTCACTTACTGTGCTCTCCTTATTCAGCTTGCAGATTCGGGTCCAGTTTGGAGAGGCACAGCAGCTAAAGAGCTGTTTGGAATATTGCTGATAGTGTGAAAGTTTGTGGAGTCTGTGGAAGACGAAGTTGCTGCCATTGACAGGATGGAAGTCTTGCAATTAAAGTTACTCAGCCTAAAGTGCACGTTAATTGCTCCCGTGAACAGACTCGCAATCTGTTCAAATAGGCTTTAAAAAATGTCTTGTACCTTAAAGACGTAATTAGTTTTGAACAAATTAGGCTAGAACAAAAGGACTTGATAGGTGCTGTAAGTTCTTAGCAGGAAGAATGGAAACTTTGTGATCCACTTGGCTGTGATGTACAATTTCTTGCTTCGTGTTCCTTCAAGGACTTTTTATTTGATATGCTTAAGTTTTAAGTTGTATTATTAACTCAGTTAAGTGTAATTCTCCAATATGTGAAGTGACTTTTCCTTTGAGAGAGACTAGTTGGTTTTTGTTTGCCTCTGTCTTTCAAATCCATCTTACCTTTCCTGTTTCGTAAGGGCCCTGCCAATTTAGGTCAGAAACCTGCTATTTGCTGCATGGTGCACACAGCTCATAGTTTCAGAGTCTTGTGCCTGGTAATGGGGGTAGAGATTCAACTCTGCTTCAGGTCAGAGCAGCAAAACCCTGCTGAAGCTGTTGGGCTTTCCCTTGGGTGACTGAGTTAACAACACAGGTAATTCTGTTCATTCACCCTCCTCCAGGCCTGCAAGGGAAAGAGCTCTCTTGCAGAGACAACAGTGAGGGACCCAGAAAGGGATTTCTCCCCAGCATTCTGTTTTGTTTGTTTGCCTATAATCACCTACTTAGCACAATCTAGTGTAGGACTCCTAATAATCACCTTTTTCCTCTGTATCAGTGGCATTCCAGTAGGCTGCTTCCATGTTTAGGTCTTGGCTTTCATCTCCCCTTGCTGAAGAGGCTTTTTAAAAAGGAAGACCAGAGCTCTGGATTTAAGTGTGCTTCGGTAAGTTCTGGTATGTTTGGAGTGTTTTATGGAGTGTTAGATTGCACTGAGCAAACCTTTGTTTTAATCCCCACCCCGGATGCCACCACTGGTGCCTCTGCTCTTGCCACCCACCCAACTTGAGTCGAGACAAAAGATTGTACACTGCTGGTTGTAAATAATTCATTGGTGTCAGGCACTGTAGACACCAGGGAAAATGCCACTTTGGTTTTTTAATACTATTAAATTCTAATTCTTGGAAGCAAACATAAGGCTTCTAAATTTGCCTGTGATAACACACTTCAGTCTAAATTATGCACCTACAAGGTTAGTGGGGAGAGCACGTCTCACTACTTCTCAATCCAGGTGTGTGGTTTTAAGTCACAGCTAATCTCTCCTTGTCAGTGACACCTGTGGTTTTCCTCTGTTAAATATTTGATTTGGAAAGAAAAACATGCAAGGTAACTTCCACTCTTTGTGACTCCAATTTAAAACCAAGTCTATCCATTTTTAATAGGAATGTGCTGCGCTTAGCCCAGTAAGTCACCTTTTGGATAGGTTAGCTGCTACTTTGCTGGCTTCTGCATTCCACATGGTTTCTGCATTTCAGAGCCAGTAGGTGCTTAGCACCTATATGGGAGTTCAAAGAGCATGAAATATGACTGGAAATTCTGCAGAACATTAGGTGGCTGAAGATATTTTAGGAACTTACATTCCAGTAGTGTTCTGTGAAGGCTTTTTTTATAGCAGTCCTCTGGTTAGACAGAGAACAGCTCCATGTTTTCAAATGTTAAGTGATCTCACTGTTTTATCAGTCTCCACTACTACTGCAGGGAAAGTACTGATATGAGTTAAAGCATTGGTAGTAAGTACTAGTTATATATGAATTAATGATTAAAATATTTCTAATTAGACTTGATAGAAAGCAAAGTGCTGGGAAAACTTGGAACCACAGAATATAGAAGCAGTTGGTGCTTTTCTCTTTAAGGGTTATTCTAATACCTATCAAATAACTTTGCTTCTAATTAGAAATTCACTTTTGTAAATGAAAAAAATGCTAAGACCAGAAAGCAGGTGCAAAAACATCAGCCAGTTCTTCTTGGCACTTCTTTTGTTGTTTTAGGCTTAAACGCAGCCTTGTTGCTTTAGTCCTTCTGGTAGAAACTCTTGGCCTTTGTGCTTCTTGTCTTGGTGAAATGTTATTACATTACAGGGATCAGTTTTGCTGGCATAGAAGCTGAATGGGGAATTTGGAAACAGATGCTCCTTTCACTTGTGGTAGCCCTACAGGTGCCTGGCATGCAACCTGCATGTTTACATAAGAAAGTAATTAACTTTCTTATGT